ATAGAGTACCTATATATGTAATATCAAAGCAATTGGACTTGAGGTTTTTAACAAGAAGTCGAAAATATCACTTTTTACCAAAAATGACAAAAATATTCACCAAAATTAGAAAATTAAAGATATCATTACAAAATGAACAAATCTGAGGGAGGTCCACATGTAGTACCTATATATGTAATATCAAAGCAATTGGACTTGCGGTTTTCAACAAGAAGTTGAAAATATCACTTTTTACCAAAAATTACAAAAACATTCACCAAAATTAGAGAATTGAAGATATCATTATGAAATGAACAAATCTGAGAGAGGTCCACATGTAGTACCTATATATGTAATATCAAAGCAATTTGAACTTGTGGTTTTCAACAAGAAGTCGAAAATATCACTTTTTACCAAAAATGACAAAAATATTCACCAAAATTTGAGAATTAAAGATATCATTACAAAATGAACAAATCTGAGAGATGTCCACATGTAGTACCTATATATGTACATGTAATATCAAAGCAATTGGACTTGCTGTTTTTAACAAGAAGTTGAAAATATCACTTTTTACCAAAAATGACAAAAATATTCACCAAAATTAGAGAATTGAAGATATCATAATGAAATGAACAAATCTGAGAGAGGTCTACCCAAGGTACATATACACCAAGTATCAAAGCATTCAGGCTTGTAGTTTTCAAGAAGAAGTCGAAAAAATAAAACATTGACACGGACGACGACGGACGACGACGACGGACAATCACTCATATGATAAGCTCCGCTCGACAAAGTCGACAGCGGAGCTAAAAAAGCTGCTGTCGCCTCTGAATATTAATTGAATTAAATAATTTTAAAGCAGAAAAATAAATATTTTATTTACAAATTCTGTCAAAATGAAAACTTTATTCATGAAAATTAATTGCTAGACCAATTGCTGTGATATTTTATATACTGGGTGGGGTGGGAGTATTATTGATTCACAGACCAGTGGAGTTTTTAGGCTGTTGGGTCGGCTGTCTTTTTCTATTGGCATATTTTTGTTTATTTTGTTAAAAAGTTATATTTTGGACATGCATGTTTAAACCTAGTATAAACATTTAAATAATTTCACTTTTTAGGAGATAAATGCAACCATATGGTGAAATTTGAAAAAATGATTAAAAATAAAGTTTAAACCGTCATTGTATTATGTTATATATACAAAACATAATCGAGTGACTCAGTCTACAAATTTACTTTATTTATTAATGTTTGAATAACATTTCTATTTCACTTGTTCTGTGTTACGACAAACCCATGCTTACATTTAACAGACAGTTTATTACATATTATTTATAAATGTCGGTATAGAACAGTTGACCAATCAGAATGATCCTTTATTGCATTTGGTATAGAACAGTTGACCAATCAGAATGATCCTTTATTGCATTTGGTATTGCTGTTAAAGCAGGAGAGTCATCACCTTTTTTTAAAGAATGAGTTAGTCGTAATTTATATTTTAATTTTATATCATGTAAGTTTAATTGAAAAATAAATTCAATTGCCTTATTAATTTTCATTAAGAATCTCATTACTGTTATTCATGCTAATGTTTGAGATGAGAATTCATTTACTTCGTTTATAACTATTTTCACCCGAAATTAACATGTAATCTAGTAAACTATAGATATGAATTTAAGGCAAGGGGATCGTCACATACGCATGCATCAGGTGGTCATAGCGTGTCATTGTTTATAAACAAGCATCTACCCACAATACAATAGCTTGTGTTGTTATCGTCGCTTGCGACTCAATTCCCGCGCATGCGCAGTTGACGACCCACCCGCTTTAAGCTTGTCGCATACGACTTATTTACTACTTCCGTGTCACTGAGAATGTTCTAGAACCGTACTGTGTCTGGGTGGAATATTCTAAATTTTTTTTAGAGACTGGTTGAATAGGTAATAGAACACTGTAGGAGGCAATAGAAGGTAATGAAACATTCTAGAAATTTATAGTAAATTCCAGACTCATTATGTATGCTGATGTAATGGTCTATTTATAGACAGTGTGGGTATATATAGGGGAGTTGTTAAGCACTGAGTTCAGATCGGAGATCTCGTTGAATTGTATTGGAGTTTAAGTATCTAGTTATTGGAGGTTTGGAGTTTTACCGCGTTATTGTACTTGATGTTTGCAGAGTATAATAATACCAGTACCAGTTGAAACCTCATCTGTTGGCTCCGTGTTCGTATTTTATCATCGCCGCCAGGGAAGTCTTTCTGTTACTGTTGCCATTTTGGTATTTGAACCATCACACCTGTACTATACCAATTACGGTAATATTACGTTGCGTGTGACAAAGCTGCACTGGTAACAGGCTTGGTGCTAGAAACATGTTTCAAGTACGCACTTTAATAAAAGGAATATTTGTGTGCACATATGGTTTATATACACTTATATGTAAAATTATTGCTCACTCTACATTTTTCATTTCTTTGACAACGTTAAGAGGCAGGGCAGTAC